TGCAAAATGCTTTTTAAATTGACTGCTGGACTAGCTAATCGAGTTTTGGTGTTACCACAGAAAGATTTCTGGACCAGCCAATAAAAATAAGGGAGAAAAGGCTTGTTTTCTAGCTCAGAGTCCTGCAGTGAAGTGCAGGGGAGCTGCGGGGAAGGGCTGGTGGAGGGTGACACGCAGGGGAGTGGCAGGGAAGGGATTATGCATCAGCAGTGATTGCAGAGGTAGCAGAGCCAATGTACCCACTCTGGCAAAATACAAAGCCCTTGTTTCAACCGACGCTTTATAAACCGGCTTTTCATGCAGTAACAAATGTCGATTTTAGATATTAGTTGTCAGGAAGTGACCTAATGTCTTGCTTTATAGATATTGGCTTAATACATTCATATCTGTATTTCTGTTGATTGAAAATTGTAAAGTACTTCGTATATTAGATCACTTCCTGTAAGAAAAATGAGCTTTGTGGAACAGCTTAGCACATTCCAAGAGTCTCAAGTCTAGAATCAAAATCATAGCGGGATCTTAGCTGCTTAGTGTTTTAATTGCAGATTTCCCCCCCCCCACTCCCATGGGGTTTTTTTTGGGGGGGTGGGGAATTATGATCTACTTTATTTACACAATGTCTTATCTCTATGTACTTAGCTGGCTCACTAATATATCCAAAAGATATATAAAAGAAGATGAAGAACATACCATTTATGTTAAAAATAATAATTGGGCTTTTGAGACAGAGAGAAAGCAAATTTTGGGTGGAGTAAAGAGTTTCTTTGGATTACAAGTTAGCTTAGAAAAGTTTGTGCTGCAAATAACACATTGTGAGTGTTCCTTCTTTGAACTTTTAATTTTATCATTCTGTACAAATGTGTTCACAATTTCTTATTTCAGAGCGCAGAAACACTTATTTGAGAGAGAAATTCAACAGAAACAGCATTACAGCTTTTAAAAAAATCAGATTCTTCGTGTGTTTTGTAATTTTCTAGTTTTGTGTGTTTACGTGTGCAGTTTGATTATAGTCAAATGTGCCATATTCATGGACATTTAAGGCAACAGACATTTTAATAAGAAAAAGAATAGTCAGTTGTAAATGTTCCAAAATGATGCTTTAAAAGCACAAAAAATTCCGGCAGTGGACACACTTTCCAGTGTCTGACATGGCACTGTTCCTGAGGGATGGTTGGGAAAACGAGAGGCACATTCAAAGCCCTGCGCTAAAACACACGAGCTCAGAACCTGAAATCCCAAATCTCGTGGAAGCAAGTAGGACGTGGAGTAGTCTTGCCATTTTTGGCTGGTTGAAATTGTACTAACCAGTCTCCTAACCCAGTCAGCCCCGGGGTACCTCTGAGAGCACTGTTGTGCATTTAAAACATACAGTTGATAAAACGTGAAGCCTCGTGACCAGACCTGGGCGCATGTAATTGGTACAGCCCAGATTATACAAATTATGGTTGAGAGCTTTAAGTCCCTAGAAGTCCTAGTAAAGATATTTTTGTAAAATAATAAAAAAAAAAGTGGTTTAAAATAGTATTTTAAGTTTAGCAGGCTTATAAAAGAACCTGGAGAAGTCTTGTTCTGAAACGTTTGACAAACGCACTGGTCCTGCTGAGAGCCAGCAGAGGACCTGCAGCTCCCTCGGTGCCTGGGGGTGATGTTCATGGGTGACTGGTGGGTTTGATGTCACTCATGACTCTCCACCCTGATGGAACAAAGTGCACGGGCTCTTCCCTCTGGCTTTGAAGGCAATATTCGTATTCTTAAGATGTAAACACAGGACCTAGTGCTTTGGTCTGTGAGCATTCAGTGCTTTGCAGGATCAAGCCCATTTCCGTACACTCATATTGGGAGATCTGGTCACCGTTCAGTGCTTTGTCTAAGGTTTTGTGCTTGGACTGTGCTGTTAAGGAAACATTAGATTCTGCTAGTTTTGGGCAATTGCAGTAAGCTCGGCCTTTTTCTGGTGGAAAGCAGTGGCTCCTGCTCTTTTATTCTCATTTTCGGGTTATTAAAAGCCTCCGCTAGTTCTCATGGTGGTCTCATGAAGGGAATGAAGCTTCTGGTTCTTACTGGCTTCACTTCTAGACTTGGGGAATGTAAAGTAGTGAAATTGGCCAGAAAATAGTGAGTGGCAAAAGAGGGTAGGTGGGACTGTTCCCTGCCTCCTCCGGCGGCAGAACGGGAGGGATGGAGCAGAGCTGGGACTGTCGACCTGAGATGAGTTAAAAGGGGACTGTCCTGCCTGTGAGGGGTAGGGAACACTTGGGTCTGGGCCTTCACACAGGTTGCTGTAGATGCTAAAAGCTCACGGGCCAACGTGACAATTGTGCAGAAGAAAAAGATACTGGTTGCTGTTATAAATTCAGGAAGTCGCTGAGCCACACGCTGCAGAATCTTCCCCCGGCTCCC